GGTCTGGCCTAATGACATCATAAAAGGGGTGAAGCTACTGTCAGGCATTAGAAACTCTGGCTAAGGTGTCTGAGGGGGTGTTGCTGAAGTGGTGCTTATTTGGGGAGGCAGGATTACCAGGTGAGTGGCGTAGCACAAGGATATGTATCTTTACACAATGAAGGAGAAGAATGGGGGCAGCTGGTACAGCCTGTTAAGGAGTTCATACCTTCACAAATCTAAAGTATGTTTTGTTTAGGGGGGAGATATTTAGATATGTAGGCATCAGTGCTCAGCTTTAACTTCATAATGGAGTACCAGCTGTACCCCACTGATGGCAGTCCTAATCAACCCAATCTCTGACCACCACTTGCAAAAATATAACGTACTATTAAAAATATGTCCCTACTTCCTCAGCCTTGATATATGTGTGGTATGGGAGTGTTTTTACTGCCATTTTCAGTTGTTTAATGTACCAACGGTACCACCAGCTGTGCTTGTTCAATTTTTAGGATCATACGTTGATATCCCCGAAGACTCAGATCAGCCTTTTCCTTTTTAGGTTGATAAATTAATGCGATTGGACTGGGTAGTAATAACATTTGTCCAACAGGACAATTATTTATGTATGCAAATATTTTTTTTTTTAAATGTATTTTACCAGGAAAACAAATTGAGATTTCTCTAGTTTTTTTTTTTGTATTTTGTTTTTTTCAATATCCTTGGATGCTCGAATGTTATTATTTAGTTGCAAGGTTAAACATTTAGTATGCAAAGAACACAGATAACCATTAGCAGCTGTCACATGTTTGGTTTTATTGGAGATAGTTCTTTTCAGGGATTGCAAGTTTAGTAGAAAACTAGAGATCTTTAAACATCTCCGTCTAAGTAAAATTAAAAAAAAAAAAAAAGTCACAACTATTCTTTTTACGAAAAATAGCACAATATTATTTTTATTTCTTATGATTATCACAAGAAAAAAGAAGAGTCCTTAAAAATAAAAAATATAACCTCTGTAAACACAATTTCTGTCTGTCAATTACTTAACTATTCCCAGAAAATGTTGGTTCTTTATAAATGCTAATCATAATAATTAAGAGACAAAATATAGTTCTTGAAGATAAAATTTGGGGTTTAAGGAGGAGGAAAACTCATGATTCCTTGCCTAGTTTAGTAGGAATTTCCCAGCCATTTTTTTAATTATTTATTCACTTCCTTACTTATTTTCTGCTTTTGTTTCAGGTCTCATTGTCTCACTTGGGTGACATATATAGAATTTAATTTTCTTTAATCAGTGTAATTCTTTAATTTTTTTGGTCTTCCTCGGTTCAGTTGTTTGGATTGCAATCATTCGGAAAGTATCATATTACACTGATCTGAATCAAATTTTGCCAATGGAATTTTTTAGTTGACAATTTAATGTTGTGTAAATAAACCTTTCATTAGGCAAGGAATCTAGCCTGTCAGTCATTGCTGCTGGCCTTCACTTTTTGTCTTTTGTCTTCTACAACAAGGTGGGTGTGACATCTGATGTGTGCAGCAGACCCAACTTGAATCTTTGGCTTGGATGCTTCAGTCAAGAATTGAATGCAATGTTTGGGTCAGATAATAATCTCATTCAACTGTCAACTCGTTTTCAACAAATCTTGAAGATTTAGACATTCAGTGTCTGCTCATCTGATTTCTGTTTTCGAGTTTGCCACCCAGATCGAGCATTCAAAACATGACTGGATCCTTTCTATAAACCTTCTGTAGAAATTTGATGTAGTTCTAGTGTATTGACATGTTCTTGGACACAGTTGTTCAGTGTGAATTTGTTTTGGAATGCTAAATTAAACATTTTTGGGTCCAAGCTGACATTTTCATTATTTAACATAATTGTGTTTTTGGTGCGGCAATGGTGAAAATAATATTTGTACATATAAAATCTGCAAAATACAAGCACGACAAAGTGAAATAGAATAAATAGTGATCTAAAGAATGTGCTCTTGATAAAGTCAATTACTGTGACGAAATGCGCTGAGCGAACTTCAAGCGAATTCCGGATAGAATTTCAAGTAAGCGAATTTCTGTTGAATTCTGGATTATCCAGGCTGGTCAGGATATTTGAACTACTTAAGTAATATACCTTTTTAGAGGTAGTTTTCTGTATATGTGGACTCGTAGATCTTCCCGATACACTACCCAAATTATCCTGGCGATAAGCGGCAAAGCAATTTTAGCACAATTTGTTTTGTGCAATTTACTTGTGAGTGTCTGTCTTCTGTTTTTTCCAATAGAGATGCATTGATTCAATGCATCTCAATGAGGAGATGCTTGGTGGCCAGGACAACTTTTGGCCCTGCCAGAAATTATGATCTCAGCCAATTCAATGTTTTCCTATGGAAAAGCATTGGAATGGCTGAAATTATCAATTCTGATGATGTCAGCCAAGGAGGCGAAGCGATGGTGGGGCCAGCACCAGCAGACTCGCACTGGAATAAAGGTAAGTTTTTACTCTAACGAAGAGGACCTCGTTATTTGAATTCTGAGAACCTGGTTAAGATTGGGACAAGGATTCTCAATGAATATTGAATGCAAGTTGACCTAAGAAGAGAAGAATCCATGATCAGAAATTCCTTGGCTATCTTCTTTATTGAAGGGTACACTAAGCAATTTTTTTTTTGTAGCTGTAAAATCAAACGATGTTGCTTCCTTTTTTGATAAATAAAAATGGTTACTTTGGAAAACTGAACTTAAACGTCTTTTCTTTTCTCAACTCTCATACTATATAATTATGTATTACAAACACAAAATTATGTATTAATCCTAACAGTGCTGTCAGTTGTATATCTTATATAGGTATTTCTCTTCAAATTTCCCCTCAAAAGTGACTTGTGGGGTCACCTTGCACATGACAATATACCTACATGCAGGGGCGTATTAGCCGCGAGGCAAACAAGGCATTTGCCTTGGGCGGCATTTTTCAGGGGGCGGCAAAAAACGCCGCCCCCCAAATGCCCAGGGCAAATGCCTAGTTAGCCTCGCGGCTAACTGACATCCCGAGCGGGCGGCACTGGCAGGCGGGCGGCCGGCGAGGGAGCACTTCCTATGAGCTCTCTGCTCAGCTCCCTCGCGCGCCGCAGAGTGAGGCTGGGAGGGAGCTGAGCAGTCAGCTCATAGGAAGTGCTCCCTCGCCAGCCGCCCGCCTGACCTGCAGCCACCGGACCACCAGGGATAGAGACCCCCCCCAGCACTCCCAAAGGTAAGGAGGTTGGGGGGGGGGATTTAAATTTAAAAAAAAGTTAATGTGTGTGTGTTTGTGTCTGACTGTGTTTGTGAGTGTGTGTGTGTTTGTGTCTGACTGTGTTTGTGAGTGTGTGTGTGTCTGACTGTTTGTGTGTGTGTGACTGTGTGTGTGTTTGTGTCTGACTGTTTGTGTCTGTGTATGTGTCTGACTGTGTGTGTGTTTGTCTGACTGTGTGTGGTGTGTGTGTTTGTCTGTGTATGTGTCTGACTGTGTTTGTGAGTGTGTGTGTGTGTTGTGTGACTGTGTGTGTGTTTGTCTGTGTGTGTCTGTGTTGACTGTGTTTGTGTCTGACTGTGTGTTTGTGTCTGTGTATGTGTCTGACTGTGTGTGTGTGTGTGTTTGTGTCTGACTGTGTGTGTGTCTGACTGTGTGTGTTTGTGTATGTGTTTGTGTGTTTGTGAGTGTGTGTCGCGTGTGTCTGACTGTGTATGTGTGTGTGTTTGTGTCTGACTGTGTGACTGTGTGTGTGTCTGACTGTGTGTGTGTGTCTGTCTGTGTGTTTTGTGTCTGACTGTGTGTGTGTCTCTGACTGTGTGTGTGTGTTGTGTCACTGTGTGTTGTGTGTGGAAGAGGGGGAGGGTTGGGTGGGGGTGGCGCGGGGGGGGGGCGCCTGAGTTTTGTCCTGCCTAGGGCAGCACAAAACCAGGATACACCACTGCCTACATGTGTATCCTTGCAGACTCAGATAAAACACACACTGATTCATTTGCCTGGTTCCTTAAAGGGACATTGTAAGCATTGTAAAATAAATTTGGCTTAATGGAGTGTCTTGTTGTATAGATCATGCTCAATTCACTGCCATTCATAAGGAAAATCACTTTGTTAATGCAGCCCCAGTCACACCGGCACTGGCTGTAACGCATATATCCTAAATGCATGGGCATGATCTTCACACCAAAACTGTGTCATTAAGCTGTTAAGTTGTTTTAATGCGTGGCGTATCCCTTTAGTTAAACCCAAAAGGCATAGTATGCAAATGACACATACACGTAGAAAGATGCTGTAAGTGTTTGCTATGTGACCTGGGAAAGAATTTATCGGAGTTTCCAATGTTAATACAATATACAGTATATATCCTTAGAATTAATTAAATGTGTATGAATTAAGGAAATACAAATTATTTATTTATTTATAAAACATTTTACTAGGATGGATACATTGAGATTTCTCTCGTTTTCAAGTATGTCCTGGGTCCACAAAATGTTGCATCGTTACAATAGGATACAATATTACAAAAAATAAAATATACAAACAATATACAAAAATAACAGGTGATAAATATATTCAACCACGACAGGTGCATTCTATGCTGAGGTATATTGCCATAGATCTCCTAAAAGATTTTAGATTGAATAAAGATTTGACTGTGTCCCTGGGGTTATTCCATAATTGCAGTGCTCTGTAGGAAAAGGAGGAATGAGACACTTTATTTTTGTATTGCGGTATGCTAAATATCGTGCTAGTACTGGATCGGAGGTTATAGGAGGTGAGAACAGCCGGGTAGAGCTTTCTACTCAGGTAGGGTGGGAGCTTCCCAGAAATGCTCTTATGCACAAGGCTGGAAAGATGAAGAGTGCGTTGGGATTCCAGCGACTGACAGTTTAGCTCTTTTAACATGTCACAGTGGTGGGTAAAGTAATTATATTCTAGTACAAAGCGGCAAGATGAATTATATAACGTATTAAGTTTATTAAGGTGGGTTTGCGGTGCTGGTGCATCCCCATAATCAATGACCGGCATTAGCATTTGTTGCACTATCTATTTCCTTACTGTAGGGCTTAGTCAGGATTTGTTTCTGTACAGGGTACCTAGTTTTGGGTAACGTTTTGAAGAGATTTTTTTTAAAGTGAAGGCCAAAGGATAGATTGGGGTCTAGCAATATACCTAGATATTTAAAGAGCAGACTGCTGTCAGTGTGCCATTTGAATTTGTTCTGATACACAATTGTTGATTTTGTAGTTTACGTCATTTAGGTAGAGTTCAAAAGATCATTGTAATGGACTTGTCAGTGTTTAGGAAGAGTTTGTTATCCGCTATCCACTTTTCTACCTCTGTGAATTGGTTTTGAAGCACAGCCTCAAGCTGCGGTAGCTTGAGTTTACTAGCGTAGATTACAGTGTCGTCTGCATACATGCGTACAGTTGAGGATTTGCAGAAATTAGACAGATCATTTCTAAGTAATGTGAGTAGTAGGGGGCCGAGTACAGAGCCTTGGGGGTACACCACACGTGACTGGAAGAGGGAGGGAATGGCCGCATTTCTAATAAAATTCAAATCTTTCTTTGCCATAAAATACAATTTTTGCAAATTAACTATTCCATCCTAAAAATGTTATGGCATTCAGTCCTTTTAATATTAGTATTAATTAATATTTATTATATGAGCCTCTCCTTTTACTCCAGAGGGGGAATTGAATAACATAATTTATGTTTTTCTAATTAACTTCACTCAAATAAAATAAAAAGAGGCAATAAATGACAATATTCCTTTCTCAGCTGAATAAATAATGGAAAATGGAAAATAAAGCAGAAAATGAATGTGTTGATGTATCTGACTTTGTGTAAATTAAGTGGTGTTTTTGTTTTTTTAAACCAGGTTGTGATGGTCAGGGGTACATTAACATTTTGCTAAAATGAATACGTTTACTAATTGTGCAACGTGCATTTAGAAGTTTTTAGCAGCTAAAACCCAGTGGTGCTATTAAAAACTCTGACAAGCAGATGGACAAATTGCAATTTATCTCACTTAGGGTCAGGAAGAATGCTCAACGTCTAAATAGTTCTTAGTGCAAATGGGGAAAATGTGTAAGAATAAAAGCCACAATGGATTTTGTTAGCACAACAATCATTGTGTTTGCAGATTACAACCCAGGCTATTAGTTATTTGGAATGTGTTAATTATTCTCACTAATTGCATTCAAGACACTCATTATCACCTGTAGAGATGTAGGATAGGGCCACCAGTATTTAACAAGTTAATTAATGTTTTCATGAAAAAAAATAATCTAACTCTCCTTTTAGCTGAAAAATAAATATTGTAGCAATACAATTAGTTGACACATTGTACGTTTTAATTGCGCAGGTGAAAATTAGAAGCAAGGATCTCAGGGAAGCTAAAGCATTCATTTTAAATATCGTTTGATTGCTAATTAGTACATCGTGTTGGCCTTGGATGTGCAATAATTGTTAATGAAACAGGATTGCTGCAATTTACAGGTGTGCTCCAGGCTGCCATTGACCCCCCTCTCACCCATTTCAATGATTTATGTAGATAATGTATTGTAATGTATTATAATGTATTAATGTAGATAATGTAAAACATTTTAAAAATAAATATAGAAAACAAAATACTTGCATGGATAGATTCTTATTTTGTATCAGCTATCCTGTTGTATGCATGTGAACACATTGTATTGCTTACCTAGGGTAAAACATATCCTTATAAATAGTTGACCCACAAAGGCACTTAAATAAGAGCATGTGGAAGGTTTTAATTTTAATTATTTTATCACCTCCTGACAAACTGACATCTTTATCTATCTATCTATCTGTCTATCTATCTATCTGTCTGTCTATCTATAATTTTTATTTGTTTATTTTAAAGTTTTTCGCACATTTTTCATGTTCATGTTGATTTTCAGAGACTTCAGTTGTCCAACTGCTGTAAAAAACACAGATTTGCATTATGTTGTTGCTCACATTACACAAATATCCCACTTGAAGATCTTTGCTAGATTATTGAGAAGTTAAAGAGTGAACTTTCTGTCCAATTTTAGAGAAAGAAGGGAGTAAGTTCTGGACTTCCAATGAGCACAGAGTGCCGTCAGCTTATAGGAGATTTTAACTTTAGGCTGGTTATTTAGTTTGGTTGGTAATTAGGGTACATTACCTGCATGGAACTTGCTCCCAGAGCAGGATTAACTATTACGCGTCCTTAGGGGATAGATGGGGCCAGTAAAACAATGGATTTACTTGGCTTCTTATTATAACAGTAAGATAACATATAAACATTTATATTGCAACTTAAGACTAAGAGAGTTGTGTCTCCAATGGGGGCACTGGTTATTAATATAAGATATCTTATCAACATCTCACAAAGCAGACGCATGTATGCATCCTCCTCTGTTGCATTTCTTCCCCCTCCCCAAGTGGCTTATGTGTAACTAGCTCCTCCATTGGAAGAACCAGACCCACTTGCACATTGCAATATGTTAATGCAGGTCTACATGTCCCAATTTTATCTCCAGATGGAGCACTTGCTAGTGCGGTGACTTATAATAACAATAAAGAAAAGTACAGTTGCTATACATAAAAGATTAAAGGTAATTAAGTAGGGCTAGTAACATATAAATCTTGCTGAGAGAGATTCCTTCCCTATCCTGTGATAAGGACCTTGGTAGGCAGCCAGGTAATTTCGTGGCTAGTAAATGCCCACTGCTTCCAAATACCTCCTCCCCTCCCACCACCTTTGGCAGCAAATCACCCACAAGCATAGGAGATTAACCATATGGGTCGAACAAGCCACTTTCGAAAATCGAAATAGGAACGCAAAAATAATTGTGGTGGGCTTCCAAAATTAAAAATAAAAACAGAGTATGCAATTAAAGGAAAAGTAAATGATAAAATGTACCACTTGCACTGGGGGAAATCCTCCACCTCGCAGCAGAAAGCTCATCTGGTAGCCTGATGCCCACACCTCAAGGTACTGCTCTATTTGTCTCCCCGAATTGAAAGCAAGAACTGGTGGTAAGTAACTGCCTATTTCTAAGGCCCATCAGGATCTCCTCTGCCCCACAGTGGGGTAGTAGTTGCATGTGTCCCTCTGGGTAGCGTTGCATTACCATTCACTCTATGAGCATCTGCATGATCTAGGATCCAATTAGACACCAATAGTGCAGAACTTGGAGAAAGTGTGGGATATGCTCAGGCCATTGTAGAACTTATCAGGTGTTTCTAAGTCTGGCCTGCAGGATGAACTGGAACCCCAGTGACAGATGACCCAATCTTGAAGAGTACTGGTCAGTGGGTGTAGTACTTGTCTGGCATGCAGGGTCAAGGGCGACAGGTCATGATATTGGTATCCCCGGAATTGCATGGCACTTATGGATCTAGTCTCTGACATTATGAGCTCATTCAGGCCAAAAGCATGGAGGCAGCAGGTGGCATCTTGTGGCTGGCCATCCATGTGGGGGTGTCTGAGTGCTCTATGGGTCCTGTCTAGTGAAATGGAATTTGGTGCATCTTACATAGAGCTTAAATGGAGTTGCAAGCATTTCCACGTTTCCATCATTTTCAGGGAGGCTTCAAACCCTAATGATATTCCACCTACCTCTATTATTGAGGTCTCCAACTTGTCTTCTAAGTTCTGGGAACATGTTACCTTGTCTTGTGCTGCTCGTTGTTGCTGGGCCAATAGTTGGATCTCGGTCTCCATGACCTTGACTCTTGCATATAGGGAGTTCAGGTCACCCCTTATCTGGACTAGTTTTTGTGAGCATATTAGCTGATATGGTACTAATACCTGCTCGTATCTTAGCTAATGTTCCAGAGTGAGCTAATCCTGGAATAATTAATAGTAATAATAATAACTGGCTTATTTCAACACAGGCATCTTCTTCATCAATCCCTTCTAACATGCTGTTATTTCTCTTGTGTGTCTTTACTCCTTCCTCATTTATTGTACGTTTGTTTGAAGAGGGCCTTCTTCACCACTTATCTCTGTTATATTCCATACATAAATTACTTGTCAAATATCCCCATTTTATAATTGTAAAGCATTGCGATATATTTTGTTGTTATACAAATGATAATAATAACATGTGCCTGAAACTGTAAATACTTTATATCATCTGAAAGAAAAGGTAGAAGGCCAACCGAAACATTTGCATATTGTGGGTTGCCATCTGCCATCTCATTATGGGTGAACCTTGTTTAGAGTGTTCTTACCTCACCCTAAGCTATTTATATCATACGCATTAAAGAAAATTGTTGTATTTTTAATTGTAGACAACGATAAATAATTACCATTTTTAGTTCATTTTGGGACATTTCTATATGTGAATAGTTTTCCTCTCATATTTCTTCATATTGCAGTATTAACAAAGAAAAGGGAGACCTATTATCCAAATAAGATTATTGCTTTGTAGACACAATACAAACAATAGAGACAACACTGAAAAGACAAATCGTAATTCCAAACATGAAAACTTGCAGGTGTTGCCAGGTGGTTTTAAAAGCAAGACAGATTAATAAAAGGCTGTAAGTCTATCAAAATAACTAAATGACACATGAAGGAGTCTTACATGGAGCATTTAGTGGAAAAACCACAAATGTCAACATATGGCAGGCACAATTAACTATTTTCCGGGTGTGCAAGGATGATGTCACTTCTGCCCATCTTTTATATGGTACGTGATGATGGGCTTTTCCAAACTTGTTCCATTAACTCTACCTATGTTCCATTAACTCTACCTGACAGCCACTAGAGGCAGTCTTAACCCTGCAAGGTAATTATTGCAGTTTCTCAGATGGCTCACACCTTGTCATTTTTAAGTCTAAATTTTACAATTCAGATATGAGTTTGCTACAGTTCAGAGTTTAGTAAATAAACCCATTGTGCATGCGCAGCCATGAATGCAAAAATTGTAAAATCTGAAGAAAAAAAAAGAGAAATATAAAGATCACCTAAACACCAAATTAGGGGGAGGGGTTCGGCCTTAAAGCAATTCAGAGAAAAATAAAAAGAGAAAAAGTCACAGCTGAGTGAGATTTGTATTTTTACAGCCTCATAATAAATTATTACAATAAATTATTATTACTATAATTATTATTATGAGATTATTTACATACAAACTTAATGCTGACACATAGACAAGGTGAATGATCACTGTCAATAACACTGCCTATTTTTCCCCATGTCTCGCTCATAATAAAAATATATATAT